TTTTAAAAATGAAACTTTTGATAGTCCAGAAAATTATCTAATAAACATTTTTAATATCATTTGAAAAATATTGAAAATCTAAGTGTAAAAATAAAAAAATTAGCCTTTGACGGTCCAGAAATTCTTTAGAAATTTTTCCCTAAAAATTCACATTTTTTGGTTTAGATGTCCTTTAGACATTTAAAGCTTCTTAAGAAAATTTTCTGATATTCAACTTCAGGAGTCCTTAATAAAATATTCCTAAAAAGTCAAATTTAGATGGATAAATGGTCATTTGAAAAATATTGGTCTGAGAGTCCTTTGAAAAATATTCTTAAAAAAATTATTTAATAATACTCTTAAAAATCCAAGTTTGTTAAGCTTAAAGACCTTTGAAAATATTCTTAAAAGTTCACGTGTGATGCACTGAATGTGGTTTGAAAAATATTTTTAAAAAATTTATGCTTGATGTCCTAAAGGTCATTTGAAAAAAATATTACATTTGGAACGAATTTGGAAATAAAATCCTGAAAAAATTTTGGTAAAATTCTAAAAATACGGAATATTGCCGTTAAATTGGTGCCTATACGACGTGGACCCACACAGGCGTTATTTGTCATGAGTCATGACCAAATTCATATTCGGAACTTGAAATAAACGCGAATAATGTAGCTAAAATCATCAAAGTATAGAATATAGGGAGATACCGTTATATCGGAGCTGTGCGAAGACCTGAACCTGCGTAGACAATTTTTTGTCATATTCTGTACCATCCATTACGAACTTCAAATACGACATTTCAAACAACTTCGGTGAGTATTGTACCTAAACTCGTCAAAATACCGAATATAATGAGGTACTGATATATGGGGCCTATACGAAGACCTGGACCTGCATAGACAATTTTCTGTCACAGACTGGAGTTTCCATTACGAACTCTAAATGCGTAATTTGAAAAAAATTTGGTGAATGAAGACTCTAAACTCATCAAAATACCGAATATAAGAAGGTACCGTTATATGGGGGCTATACGAAGACGTGAACCTGAACAGACAAATTTCTGTCTTAGGCTGTAGTATTCATTGCGAACTTCAAATACCAAATTTTGAACAATTCCTATCAATAATGTCGCTAAAATCATAAAAATACCAAATATCGGGACGTACAGTTATATGGGGGCTATACGAAGACGTGGATCTGCACAGACAATTTTCTGTCAAAGGCTATAGTATTCATTACGAACTTCAAATACCAAATTTGAAACAATTCCGGTGAATAATGTCGCTAAAATCATCAAAAAACCGAATATCGGGAGGTACCATTATATGGGGCTATATGAAAACGTGGACCTACATGGCCCATTTACGAACTTAACCTGCCTACTGTAAAAATAAACCTGTGTGCAAAATTAGCCTTTTATCTCAATTCGTTCGAAAGATAGCGTGATTACAACAGACAGACAGACAGACAGGCATACGGACAGACAGACAGACGGACATGGCTAAATCGTCTTAGAATTTTACGCTGATCAAGAATATATATACTTTGTTGGGTCTGACATGAGTATTTCATGAGTATTAATATACCCTCCATAGTATGGTGGAAGGTATAAAAAAATCAACGTTTGACGGTCCAGAAATTCTTTAGGATTTTTTCCCTAAAAATCCACATTTGTTGGTTTAGAAGTCCTTTAGTCATTTTTCTTTAAAACTTCATAAGAAAATTTTCTGATATTGGTTCAGGTGTCCTTAAGAAAATATTACTAAAAAGTCAAATTTAGATGGATAAATGGTCATTTGAAAAACATTGGTCTGAGAGTCCTTTGAAAAATATGCTTAAAAAAATCTTTAATAATACTCGTAAAAATCCAAGTTTGTTGATCTTAAAGCCCTTTGAAAAAATTCTTAAAAGTCCACGTGTGATGCACTGAATGTGCTTTTGAAAAATATTTTTAAAAAAATCATGTTTGATGTCCTAAAGATCATTTGAAAAGTATTAAAAAAAACAAAAGTTTAAAGGTCTTTTGAAAAATATTATCGTCGCAAGATCCATTGCAGAAATTCCTAAAAAATCAACACTTGATTGACTCAATATCCTTAGAAAAATACTCATAAAAATATGTTAAAAAATTAAAGTTATCACGGTTCTTTGTAAATTTCACTAAAGTCCCCTAGAATATGCCCTTAAAAAAACCAACATTAATGGCCTAAAATCCTCAAGAAAAGATCCTTAAAAATTCATGTTTCATAGTCCACAAGTATCTGAAAAAAAATTCTTTAAAAATCCACGTTTGATAAAAATCTCACTTTAAAATATGACCCTTATATGATGTGTAAACCAAACCTTAGAATCAGAAAACACAGTCCGCATAGGGCTTGCAATAGGAAAATGGTCATTTTGGAAAACGGAAATTCTGACCATAAAAGTGGGAATGAGGCTGACAAAAAAAGAAGACGAAATTAAGAGAATCCAGCGCCAGTAGAACTTTCTGGATTAAAGTTTTTCAATTTTTATGAGACAGAGAGAGAGAGAGAAAGAGGTGAAGGAGAGAGGCAGGTAAAGTCTGATCCAATTTAGAGAGGGAAAGAAATCTTCGATTAATATTAAGGTGGAATAATATGAGGATAATAGATAGGAATTGGACACGAATTTCATTAGGAATACATTTATGGTTTTAAGATCCCTTATAAAACATTCCTTCGCTTTAGGTGTAATTCTAGCATGATGTGTTAACTGGCCTGTTTAAATGAGACACCGCCTCCACATATGGTTTGCAACGGGGGAAATGGACGTTAGGGAGAATGGAAATTATGACCAGAATTTGGGAATGGCCCAGACAATGGAATTAAGAGGACCCACTGACCAGCAGAACTATTGGTGATTCAGTTTTGGCGATTTCGAGTGGCTATTAGAAAGAGTGAGAGAGAGGTAAAGGGTGTCCCAAAAAGCAAACCCACCTCTTTCCATTTGGCCAGGGTTGGAAATCGCTGTAACTGCCATATTGTGGCCATGGATGTGGCTAAAAACGAATTCCACAAAAAATGATTAAGATAGGATGAGATTTCAATATAGCTCCTCTATATAAACTTATATAGCCATAAAATTTAATTTAAAAGGTTTTTGTAACAAATGGTAAAATATAGGGTTGTGGCGGATTAGCTGTTGATTTAAAAATATATATTTTTTTGGGACAAACTAGTGTGCTTCCGTTTCGTGCGGAAAATAATTAAATGACGATAGACAATATGAAGCTGGAGTAATTTAAGGATTATACATAGGAGTTTGACATCGATTTTATCCGGTAACATTCTTCCCAAAAAGTGTTGCTTAAAAACCCAGAAGAGATCATGTTGGATAAAATGGAGATTGCACCACCTCCATTTTATCAATACATATAACTTTCTCTCTCGAAATTGGGGCACACTCTTTCCTCTCTCTCGCTATGGACATGAAATGGACAACGATTTCATCAGGAAACAAATTGATGTATGGCTTTAAAAGACCCAGAAAAGATCGGATTAAATTAAACTCTTAAATTAGGATTTCAATGGGTATCCAAACAATTCTTATTATAAATGAAAAAAGTTGTATATTCCAGAACTTCTAGAATGTAGAACTTTTTACTACGATAACCGATTTTCTCATTATGACGTAAAAGAATGGCAAAATTAGTAGATTCTTGTAGGTTCTGGAACAGAGCAAATATTTCTTAAATCATATGTTCTGTTCCAGAATTGCAGGAATGTAAAATTATTCACAAGAATAGCCTGTTTTTCCATTATGATATCATAGAAAAATTAAAATTCCATTAGGTTCTGGCAGGTTCTGGAAGAGAGCAGTACTGGGCATAATTTTCTTATTTTTTTTCCACGCCTCTAGCATCCCCAATAGAAAATGCTTTCCGCAAATCGCAATTCCGGCAGCATGCCTTGCAATGGGGCTTCAAGTTGAAAACGGTCGAATTAAAATAGCGGCCGTCCAACATGATCTTTTATAACTTAATTTTGGCAAATCGTGGTCCTTATGAGAGAGAGAGGAAGAGAGAGCTCCAATTTCGAGAGAGAATGTCATTTATGGCTAATAAACTAAATGATCTACCCCAAACAATATCTTCTATAACTTAAGTTTGGTAATTCGCGGTCCTTATGAGAGAGAGAGAGAAGGAGAGTGCTTCAAGCTCGAGAGGAAATGTCATTTTAGGCTAATATGTAGATGGAACCATCTCGGGATTATGAATATGATATGGACAGCGATTACATTAGGACGTTTTTCTAGCAATACAGACTTTTACATAACTCAATCTTGGTATTTCTTTATGAGGAAGAGACAGAGAGAGAGGGGAGGGGAGGGAGAAGATTATGTTAAATATCGAGAGAGATATTCATAAAATGAAGGAGGAGCAAACTCGGGATTAAAATTAAGAATTGAAAAGCGTTTTCATCAGCAAACTCTTTCACAAAAAAGTATAGCTTCCAGGTACCTGGAGATTCAAGATCCCCAAATCCTAACAGACAGAGAGACAGAGTGAGAGGGGGGGGGGAGGGTGTTCAATATCGAGAGAGATATTCATAAAATGAAAGAGGAGCAATCTCGGGATTAAAATTAAGAATTGAAAAACGTTTTCATCAGCAAAATCTTCCCCAAAAAAGTATAGCTTCCAGATACCTAGAGATTCAAGATCCCCGGATCCTAATAGACAGAGAGACAGAGAGAGGGGGGGGGGGGAGAGTGTGTTCAATATCGAGTGGGATATTCAAAAAATGAAAGAGGAGCAATCTTGGGATTAAAAATAGGAATTGAAAAGCGTTTTCATCAGCAAACTCTTCCCCAAAGAAGTATAGCTTCCAGATCCCTGGAGATTTAAGATCCCCGAATCCTAATAGATATAACTTCTGGAAAAGATTTATCATCGATTCTTTCAGGTTTTAAAAAGTAACAATATTTTTAAAAAAACATACTTAGAGCCTAAGTTTCTATTTTTCCACGCTTGTAGAGTGAATGTGTGCTAACGTTGGACTTACTTTCAACAGCCTTGAAGAGCAGCGCTCCGCCCACGGTGTACAGCGCCACCACGGTCAGCAGGAAGATGTGTGTAAACCATTTCTTGGACCATTTACTCAGCTTATTGTACATGCTAAAGGTGAATTTCTCACCAAAACTCATGCCCGATTTGGTGAAATCGACGAAGCCCTCAAACCCTTTGGCCATAAAATTGCCGGCCGCAAAGGGATTGGCATAGGGCGGCCAATATGGGGCTCCGGCCACGGAGGCTGTGCCATAAGTGCCGGTCTGTGCTGTAGGTGGCATTGAACCCATCGCTGAGCCATTACTGTTGGGAGGATTGCGAATGAGTATTCGAGGCGGACGATTGGCAAATCTGGAGGGCGGCGCTGGCGGTGGCGGCGATGATGATTGTGACATTGTGGTGTTGTTTTTTTTATTTTCTATGGAGATGTGATTTTTTCAGATCTTTTTTTTTTTTTTTTTTTTGAAGATATTATTTTTTTTTGAATTTCTTGTTTGTTTTTTTTTAATTTAAAAAAATAAATTTATGTTCCAATTTTTTTTTAATTTTTCTCCCAAATTATTTCCATATTATTTTTTATAATTTTTGTTTTTAAATAAAAAAAACACTTTTATTCAACTCATAATCACAGATTTCCTTTTCTTTTTCTCTCCAATTTTTTTATCTCAAAAAAATTATAACAAAATATTCCAAAATATTTTTTTTTGAAAATTCGTTCACTTATCAACCGCAAATTATGTGTCGATTTTTTTATTTAACGGCGACTTAAGTGCGTGTCAATGTGTGTGCGATTTTTTTTTTTTTTTGTCGAATTTCTTGTTCCACTATTCTACTTCGACGCGCTTGGTCCGTATCGTTCTTAAATGAAAATCAAACTGAAACAAAGTCGCCACTCGCCAAATTTTTGGCTGCTGGCTTTTTGCTCACCAGCAAACGATGAGGTTCATGATGATGATGATGATATTGTTGTTGTTAGTGATTTTTCCTGATAATTATGAAAATGATGACGACCCATGGAGACTGGCATGGCTTGTTGTTGTTCTTCATCTTCTTGTGTGTTAATCATTATATCGTCAAAAGATATATATATATATATATGTTCACCAGCCATATAAGTGAGTGACGTTATTGTCCGATTCTCTTCAGTTTGATGCCATTGATTTGATGGTTGATGGTGTTGATGATGAGATTTTCTTGCCAGAAAAAAAAAAAAACAAGAAATGAAAGGAAAAACGCAAAGAAAAGCGAAATGTGTTCCGAAGACCGGCAGCAGCACTTCCCTGCTTGCCTACCATTTTACTGTCGTCATCAGAGTGGATCCATGAGTTTCCATTTTACTCATCCGCCGCATTGAAGAAATTTCGGAACTGGAAGAAGTGCTTTTTGACCAAATCATCACCATCATCATCGGCAGCGGCAACATTGATTTCTCGATTCGGATTTGATTTGGTTAATATTTATTTTAAAACCCATGACCATTGTCATTAATTTGTTGTTGTTGTTGTTATTGTTATTTTTTATTCTCATTTCTAATAAAATTAAATATTTTATTTGTCCATCCGAAAATTTCCCAGAAAATCCACTGCTGCGACTAAAAAAAAAAAATAAATTATTTACCTGATTCGTTGGAAAATGAGACTTATCTAGGATACGCTGAATTTTTGTGTGAGACATGGAAAATTGTGAGGAATATTGGTCATATATGATATGAACTTAAAATATTAAAAATTTGGCGAAATTAAATGGAAATTATTAAAAAAATACCTAAAATCGGGGGTTTCCTTACCCAAACAAATTGATTGAAATAGCCCGTTTTTTTAAGCCAATGATTCTTGAAGTTATTCAAAGCTCCCTATAAAATTTCATAGCTCTATATAAAATGTTGCGAAATTCACCTCCAAATATTGGGTTCCCTTTGCATAGGGTCAAGGCTATATGAAAACCTGAAAATCAGCTTGGCCTAGGAACCCGAGACTATTTTGGGATTTTAATCTACAAACTGAATACTGCCAAATTTACTTGGGATTTTCCACAATCCAGACCGACTATTGGATCTGAGAAAGTTTTAGAACATTTGCGGCGAATTCGGAGAAAGTGCTCAATTTGCCGAGAGTACAAAAAAAAGGTCTGAAAATCTGCTTGGCCTAGGAAACCGAGACTATTTTGGGATTTTAATCTACAAACTGATTACTGTCAAATTTATTTGAGATTTTCCACAATCCAGACCGGCAATTGGATCTGAGAAATTTTTAGAACATTTGCGGCTAATTCGAAAAAGGGCTAAATTTGCGAGAGTACAAAACAAGTTAAAACGCAGTATGTTCGGTCGGGCCGAACTTTGAATACCACCATTCGGAACGAATTTGGCAATTTTCAAAAAAAAAAAAACCGTTCAAAATTCTGTTAAAATTTAAAAAATACCGAATATAGCCATTATATTGAGGTCTATAGGACGACGTGGACCTGCATAGGCAACTTTTGTCATAAACCATTACAATATTTAAATACGGAACCTGAAAAAAATCGGTGAATATTGTCGCTAAAAACATCAAAGTACCGAATATCGGGAGGTACCGTTATATGGGGGTTATACGAAGACTTGGACCTGCACAGACAATTTTCTCTCATAGGCTGTAGTATCCATTACGAACTTCAAATACCAAATTTGAAACAATTCCCGTGAAAATGTCGCTAAAATCATCAAAATACCGAATATCGGGAGGTACCGTTATATGGGGGCTATACGAAGACTTGGACCTGCACAAAAAATTTTCTATCTTTGGCTGTTATATCCATTACAAACTTCAAATACCAAATTTGAAACAATTCCGCTGATTAATGTCGCTAAAATCATCAAAATGCCGAATATTGGGAGGTACCATTATATGAGGGCTACACGAAGACCTGGACCTGCACAGACAGTTTTCTCTCATAGGCTGTAGTATCCATTACGAACTTCAAATACCAAATTTTAAACCATTCCGGTGAATAATGTCGCTACAATAATCCAAATACCGAATATCGGGAGGTAGCGTTGTATGGGGGCTATACGAAGACGTAGACCTGCACAAACAATTTTCTGTCTTAGGCTGTAATATCCATTATGAACATCAAATACCAAATTTGAAACAATTCCGGTTAACAATGTCGCTAAAATCATCAAAATACCGAATATCGGGAGGTACCATTATATGGGGTCTATACGAAGACTTGGACCTGCACAGATAATTTTCTGTCTTAGGCTGTAGTATCCATTACGAACTTCAAATACCAACTTTGAAACAATTCCGGTGTATAATGTCGCTAAAATCAACAAAATGCCGAATATCGGAAGGTGCCGTTATATGGGGGCTATACGAAAACGGTGATCTGAACAGACAATTTTCTCCCTTAGGCCGTAGTATCCATTGCGAACTTCAAATACCAAATTTGAAACATTTCCGGTGAATAATGTCGCTAAAATCATCAAAATACCGAATATAGGGAGGTACCGTTATATATATACAAACACGTGAACCTGCACTAAAAAATTCTGTCACAGGCTATAGTATCTATTACGAACTTCAAATACCAAATTTGAAACATTTCCGGTGAAAAATGTTGCTAAAATCATCAAAATGCCGAATATCAGGAGGTACTTTTATATAGAGGTTATACGAAGACGTGAACCTGCACAGACAATTTTCTGTCTTAGGCTGTAGTATCCATTACGAACTTCAAATACCAAATTTGAAACAATTCCGATGAATAATGTTGCCAAAATCATCAAAATTCCGAATATCGGAAGGTGCCGTTATATGGGGGCTATATCAAAACGTGGACCTATATGACCCATTTTCAATACCAAAAGTCCTGCAGACATAACATACATTTGAGTAAAATTTTATCAACCTACTTCATATCGTTCGGAAGCTAGAGTGATTTCCACAGATGGATAGACGGACGGATATCCCTAAATCAACATAGAATTTTATTCTGATCAAGATTATATACTTTGTGGGACCAATATTTCGAGATGTTACAAACGGAATGACAAACTTGATATACCCTCCATACTATGGTGGAGGATATAAAAATAGATCAAAATAGTCAATTGTTTAAATCAATGACTCAATTTCAGGTTAAAAGCACTATCACCCAACACAAAATTGTACCAAATATAGTACTATTTAGTACTTTTCGTGCACTTATGGTACACATTTCCAAAACCAAGTGCTTACAATAAACCTAACACCAACATGGACCCTAATACAAAAATGCAAAATTCCAGCTTCCAGCAGTGACTCTCATTCCAAATTTCAGAATTCCAGCTCCATCGGTTCATCATAATTTCAATTTGTACAAAATTTAGTACCATTTTGTACACATATGTACGAATCTCCAAAGCTTCCTAAACAATTCTATTCCCCAATTCTACACTCCCACAATAATAACAATTCCAAATTTAAGGATTCCACCCCTTTTGCTTCGCTCAAATACAAATTTTACTTTATCTAGTACATTTTGGTACACATAAGTACAAATTTCCCAAACTACCTATATATTTACCTACACTACCTCCACATTATTTCCAATTTTCATGATACCAGCTCTATCAGTTCAACCAAATCGAAATTGTATCACATTTATAACCCTTTAGTACTTTTCGTGCACATAAGTACAAATTTGGAAAACTTCCTCCATATCCCAATCCTACACTCCGCCATTAATGTTAAAATCAAATGTTAGCATTCCAGCTCCATCCGTTCCACCAAATTTAAATTGTACAAAATTTAGTACCGTTTAGTACTTTTCGTATAGATGGGGTACACACTTCTAAAACTACGTGCTTACATCGGACTCTACTCCTCAAACTTGATTCCCATTCCAAATTTCAAGTTTTTAGCTCTAACCGTTTCAATAATACGAAATGGTACCAAATGTAGTACATTTTAGTACTTTAGTACAGATTTTCCTTCTTATTTCTGAATTTCAGAATTCCAACTCTATCGGTACAACCAAATCGAAATTTGTTAGCATTCCAGCTTCAACCGTTCCACCAAATTTAAATTGTACAAAATTTAGTACCGTTTAGTACTTTTCGTATAGATGAGTACCGACTTCTAAAACTACGTGCTTACATCGGACTCAACCTTGATTCCCGTTCACATGATACGAAATGGTCTCTAATGAAGTAAATCTTAGTATTTTAGTACGGATTAAGAAGGATAAGGATTGCTACGGATTATCCTTTTCTATTTCCAGCTCTATCGGTACAACCAAATCGAAATTATACATTTTAGTACTTTTCCCACACTTATAGTGTGCATTTCCAAAAACCTCCTCATACACTCCCCATCAGTGACCCTTAATTCAAGTTTAAGAGTTCTGGCTTCCTCAAATACAATGGGTACCATATGTAGTACCATTTAATAATTTTCGTAACATTCTTG